ATTCTTGAAATGCCAAAATTATAGAAGTGGAGAACAGGCAAGTAGATGCCAAAGGTTAGAAAAGGAGAAGGGTATGACTTTAAAGGGACATCACAAAGACTTCCTTTGTGGTGACAGAATAGTTCTGTACCTTGATTATATGAAGCTATATATACGATAAAATGTCATAAAACTACATACAAAGACATACCAAAAAAATGAATGCATGCAAAAAGTGGTGAAATCCAAGGTCTGTAGTTTAATTAATTGTACTTGCCCAATTCCTGGTTTTGATAATGCCTATATTTATATAAGGTGTCACTATTGGGGAACTGAGTGATGGGCACACAGGACTTCTCTGTATTATTTTTGCAACTTCTTGTGAGTCTATTAATGATTTCAAAATAAGAAGTTGAAGAAGAAAGCAGGGAAGGAGGGAGGAAAGAAGGTAAAAGGTGGGGTGGGGGGAGAGGGAGAAAGAAAAACAGTGAAGTCTTCCAGGCAAGATGGAGTTAAAGGGACTGGCTTACCCTCCAACTTGAAACAAGGACAGCAGAAAAACTTTTTTTTAAAACAGACACAATGCATATGAAACAGATTTGAAGACACTAGACATTAGGCAATTAAAGAAAGTGATCACTGAGAGAAAACAAACAAGATGAGCACAGCTTACGGCCTTGAGAGTCTCCAGGCTACAGTACAGGGAGAGGAAACTAATGCTGGGTTGAAGAAATCAAGATGAAAGTTCACAAGAGACCAAGACAGCTAGACTTTGTAAGACAAGGTACCAGAGAGAATAGAGCCTGATGCTCCTACAGGTCCAGGAATAATGCCTGTTCTACCTACTAGACTGGAAAAAAATCATTTACTCATAGGGCATTGTTTAGAGCACTTAGAAGTGGGAAACAATTAGTCCTAGATAGAGCACTACTCCAGAACTTTCTAACAAATTATAAAAGCAGGAGATTAAAGGCTTAAACTGTTTCCAAGTGACTTAACTGCATCTTTGAGAAAAACTCAAGATTTATATGAATGCAAAGGTAACTAGCACCCAACAAAGTAAAATTCACAACGTCTGGCATCCAATCAGAGATGATCAGACATGCAAAGAGTTAAGAAAATGTGACCCATAATGAATAATCAATTGAAACCAACTCAGAACTGACAATGCTAGAATTAGCAGAGAAGGAAAATAACTGTATTCCATATGTTCAAAAAGTTAAGACATGGAAAATGTAAAAAAGGTGAAATTGAATTTCTAGTAATGAAAACTACAATGTCTGAGATGAAAAATGCTGTGGATGGGATTAGACCTTGCAGAAGAAAAGATTTGAGGAAGAATCTTCATAAGATTGTTTCTTGAGCAGAACCGATTAATTGTACATTTGCTCAATGCCTAGAGTACTATTGACTTATTATTCCAGGTATTAAGAGAAAATTTAACGGGTACCATGAAAACTAGCTCAAAAATACTTTCTTTTTAGTAAAGAGTTCTTGTCAAGATATCTTAGGTTGCTCTTTTGTTGGGAGAAGACTGTAAGTAGTTAAAGAATGTTGACAAAATTAAAATATTTTGTTATGGAATTGTGTGTGGTGTTACGTGGTTTTGTTTGTGACATGTATGTATTAAAAATAATAAAATTTCAGAGTAACTAGCTTCATGTTGTTTCAAAACTGTGTGTATGTTATTTTCCTAGCTAGTTGGTAAGGGCATTGGCATGTCTTTTTCCATATTTTGAACCTCCCTAAAATACTTAGCCTGGTACTTCCCATAGTGGTAGTGGGTGGTTGGTAGTGTCTGTGAGGTAGAGGAGGGAATCCTCCATCACTGATACACTTAAGTTTTATCCGCTGCTAACAAGGGAGAAGCAGAAGTATTCTTCTGAACCAAATGTAAATAAACAAAATCTGTTATAAGGTTAAGAGGGAGTGGGAAGGGAGGCAGGAAGAAGCTCACCTTACAAGAAGCTTTTTAATCCTCTTTTTAAACAGGAGGATTAAATACTGCAAACTACTCCTGGAGCCCTGTTTTTGTTCATAACTAGTGCTGATTAAATCCGGGTGCATTTTGGGTTAAATAAAAAGAAGTTGGAGATTCATATATTTGGGTAGATTTTGGCAGGGGTTTAGAGAGCAAATGGCAGAGTTAAATACATATCCTAAGAAACCTTTCCTCCCACTTAATGGAAGTCACACTGCATAAGGATAGGGTAGTCGTTTTCTTATTTCTTGGTCAAAGAAACATTGTCCAATTTTCACTGGCAAAGGGAAGTAAATAAGGAACAAGATTTCTGGAACACCAAGTTCCAATATGTTTTGCAAGACTTTCATAGAAAGGAGTTTATAAACTTTACAAATTAGAATAGTCTCCACAGATTCAGGCCAAAGAGCTTTTCGTAAATTAGTTATTGGCAAGATAAAGCTATTTTCAAGCAACCTAAGTGGAATTTCATAAACTGTCTTGCCTTTTGAGTTTTGTCTTTAAGCTGAAATTGCTCGTGTATTCATTTTGTTAGAATCAGTAGCACTGTGCTTGGCCTGTAATACTACAGAAGGACATGTAGACAGGCTTTACACTCCGTAAGCAAGAAATGCATGATTGATGAGGTGGCAAAATAATATGCTAAGGAAAAATTCTCAGATATTTAGGAATGCCTTAGTATTGTTGATGCTTTATCACTAGTGCTAAATGATGTAAAAAGAAAGAAAAAGAACAACAAAAAAGTTCAGGATTTTCGGTTCTTCCCTCCATGTTTATTTGAATTACTAGAAAAAGAAATTCTGTATTACCTAAAAACTGTTAGTGCCAGTTACCTCAAAATTCTGACCTACTAAATGTAGCACATAAAAGAACAGCTTAAAATTGACAAAGGTGTTCCCCTTATTGATGAAGAATTACAGGAAAAAGAAGCTTCTAACAGGGATTTACCAATTACAATAAGAAAGATTTTAACCAGTTTACCAAGCTAATGAGAACTGGAGTTGTGATGATATTGAAAATAGAACAAGAGAAGTAGAAGGAAAGACTCCAGAGGAAGCCATTGAATAATTAGTCATGTTCTCAGAAAGATGCAATGAGCTCCAGAACATAGACTAGACTGTGGCTCAGAGTGAAGGGTAGAGAAAGGAATTCAGAGAAGACTTTGTATCAGAAAATTCAGAGAGGGCCGGCCCCGTGGCGCACTCGGGAGAGTGCGGCGCTGGGAGCGCAGCGACGCTCCCGCCGCAGGTTCGGATCCTATATAGGACTGGCCAGTCGCTCACTGGCTGAGCGACGGGCGACACCAAGCCAAGGGTTGCAATCCCCTTACCGGTCACGAAAAAAAAGAAAAAAAAAAGAAAATTCAGAGAAGAATTTGACACAAAGATCAAGTAGTGTCTGTGAGACTACTTTTCATCAGTTGAGAATATCATATGGGAATGTTGGCCTAAAAGAAACTGAGGCCAGCCCCATAAAGCATGGGATTTATTGAGCCAGTATAATGATTGCAACCAGGGAAAATGCCTAAGTTAGTTGTCTTCAGAAATGTGCTCCAGAGGGGTCCAGCTGAGCTTAGCATTTTATAATCACAAGAAGTGGGGAGACAGGAATCAAAGGGACAGCAAGAGAGAAGAGGAAAGCCCCCCTAATCATTATATCAGTTTCTCTGTTGGTTAGTACACATACAGATTTTGGATTGTTACTAGGTTACATCCTACACACAGGAATCTAGAGTAAGGGTTATGAGAAGCATTCTACGTTATTTTATTACTTTTTCTGGTGCCTAAGTTAAAACAGTCTTATGATAACATTTTCCAGGACATGGGACATGACTACTGACTTATCTCAGATTTCCCAGGATACTACAATTTAGCTGACATGGTCAGAGCAGGTTTTTAAGTTATCGGTACTAAAAAGGAAAAAAGCTAAACTGAGGAAGAGGATAGGTCTCTTGATTTGTGTGCTTGGATTTGACAAGGAAAAAGTTTGTGATGAATTGCTGTGGTGTATTCACAACTCTCCTCAGTTCAGATTTGGCTGGTATCTTAAATCCAGAACTGCAGTGGAGCTCCAGAGGAGATGTAACACCTTAATTACCTTGATTAACAAAGAAAACTTAGAACTAGAAGAATAGAGATGGGAAACAAGTGAGGTGGGCTCAGTTAAGAAGGAAAACAGAACTCGAAGAACAGAGATGGGAAACAAATGAGGTGAGCTCTACGACTGGCACACCCTACAACTTTGAGAGAGTTTTCAGGCTGCAGGGCAGGGAGGGATAACAGCAGACTCCCTGAGTGGGAGACCAGGGCTGCCCAGAGTTTGCAAGAAAGAGTTCCAGAGAGGAGGGAGCTGCATGGGTCGGGGTCTGCAGAGGCTGCCCATGAGCGTTCAGCAAAGTACTCACCAGCATGTATGTGAGGAAACTTACATGGTATAGTGTGGATGAAACCCAAAATAAGTACGCTGAGTGAAAGAAGACAGATTGTTTTTAAAAAGTATATACTGTATGATTCCATTTATATAACATTTTAGAAGATACAACTAATTTATAGAGACACAAAGGAAATCAGTGCTTGTTGGGGGATGGGGGCAGGAAGGGTAATAGGCAGGGAGGGGCATGAGGGAAAGATTACAAAGGGGTACAGGAAGGTTCTGGGAGTTGTGGGTATGTTAATTACCTTGATTGAAGAGATGGCTTCACAGATTTTATACATGTCAAAACGTATTACATTGTATACTTTAAATACGTGTAGTTTATTTTGTCAATTATACTTCAAGAAAGCTCTTTTTTAAAACTGCACTAAAAAATAATACAAATAAAAAACACGGTAACTTCCCTCTCAGAGTCATTTTGAGAAAATAAAAGGAGAAAAAGCCCATATAACCTCTTTGCTACTGTTTTCCAACTCAAACTATCTTTACTAAGATGTTTGGTGTTCTATGATGTTTTTCAGTTTTATAGGTGTGTTATTAGGATCTATGTGGTCAAATGCTGTTCTTTTCAATTAATATATAACTTTATGCAAATTTTGTGTTTCAGGACTCATGAATCAAGCAAGCAAACATGAAAAATGGATTAAGGCTGATGCCCCAGAAGGCACTGTAAGTTTTAGAAGTCAGAGCTGGTTTCAGTCCCTGAAACTGCGGGACTAAGAATGATTTGAGTTGTATTTATGATTTTTAACAACGATTACCAGATCTGTGACTACAAAACTGAAAATACCACTGTTCATATAAATGTTGAAATCAACAAATTGGGAATGAACACTGATGAGTTGTCTTAGAATGGCTTTTTCAGAATTTGTACTTAGCTATTTGTTTTCTATTGCTCTGTAACAAATGGCAAACAAACTTTGTAGCTTAAAATAATACCCATTTATCAGCTCACATTTGTGTAGGTCAAGAGCCCAGCATGGCTAGGTTCTCTGCTCAAGATATCACAAGGTTGGAATCAAGGTGTTGACTAGGCTGCGTTCTCACCTGGAGACTCTGAGGAGAAATCTACTTTCAAGTTTATTCAAATTATTAGCAAAATCCAGTTCCTTGAGACTACATAACTGAGGTCTCCATTTTCTTGGAGTGATTGTTCACAGCCAGCATTCACTCTAAGCTCCTGGAAGCCACCAAATCTCTTCTCATGTGGCCCCATACATCTTCAAGCCAGCAATGATGCACTGAGTCCTTCTCATGCTTTGAATATCTGACTTCTGCAACCTGTGCTTTTAAGGGCTCACTTGATTAGATAAGGCCCACCAAGGATAATCTTTGTCTTGCCATATAATGTAACATAATCATGAGAATGATACCTCATCATATTTACAGTTTCCACTCCCACTCAAGGGGAGGAGATTATACAAAGGCATCAGTTATGGGGGGCAGTTATCTTAGAATTCTTTGTACTGTAGTTCTCATGTGACAGGTTTTCTACTTAGTACCTTTTAAGGCATCAATGTAAATTTAAACTGTGAATAAAAAACATATCATAAACGTAAAGCAGTTGCTACCAGTTCTTAATATCTTTCATGTAATTTAAGACATACTTCTGTGGGGGGAAGAGCATTCAGCTATTTTATAGCCTGATGTATGAAGACAGATTTTCACTTGTATAAGGTGTACTGTGTAAAATTATTTTATGAATCCCATTTCTTTCAAACCTTACTCATCTACTACTGGAACATTTAAGTTACACAACATTGAAGAAACCTGTCCATTGGATTATATTTTTTACGATTAAGATAAATTAATTCTTAAACACTGATTTTTAATAAACCTTTTCAAATATGGTGATTTGTAATAGTCTCTTTGTTAATATTCCATTTTTTTAGAGTTCTGTTTTTAACTTCTAATTTATGAAACAAAAAGTCAGCTTGGTGGGATATCTCCAAGTTTCCTTTTTAGTTTACTCTTCATGAAATCAGAATTTGTTCAAGTTTGAAAGGTACTCACATGTTGGTATATTTGATATGGTTGTGGTATGTTTGTTAAACTATTAAGTAGAGGAAACTGTCAGGCAATGGAGTAATTTTTATAAGCTTTTTTCACTCTCATGCATTTACATAAACATTTTCATGACTAAAAATAGAGTCGATGAAACTAGCCAACAACAGCCAGAAAAGTTGTGAGCATAAACAGCAGTCAGCTATATTTAAAATTATTAATGGAATTGTACTTATTTAGATCACATAGTTAAGTTCCAAAGAGATAGGAACAGCTGCCATATTTTACTCTCATAGACATATCCATATATATCAAATGCTTAAGGGCTAAAGACTTAAGTAATATCTTGGATACCTTGAGTTCTCTGCACTAAAAACTTGAAGATTTCTCTATCCATCCACTCTACGTGGCTCCCTTTCATAGCTCCCCCTTTTTTTTTAACACCTACCCCTTTTCTTTCATTTGTGCAGCTATAAAATTTGTCTTCCCAGAATTAATCAGTGTGTCTTCTGTTCTTATTTAAAAGAGAATGTTACTCAAAGAATTTTGGAGCAAGCTCTGACAGTAAAGCAACCTGTTGCATTTCTAGAGAACATAACAGGGTGTGTTTCTTCTTACTCTGGTCTTCCCCATGCAGGTGTTATTTCTCTAAAAAGCAGTTGCTTCTTTTGTAGGTCCCTCCAGTTGTGTGCATCGGACACTTAGGGGGTCATACATCTGAAGCCAACTTTTATGTAGGTGCCAGAAATCTCCAAATTTAGTTAAAAATCACACTCTTACAACAGTTACCTTAAGTCTCATGGCCTGGGTCTTAAAACTTTCTACTCAACTGATTCCCCTGTTGTCCACTTCGAGGAACCTTTGCACATCTAAGTGATACTACCTTTTTTCAAAATCTCTTTCAATATCAACCTAACAATGGGGAGAATTATTAAAAGCATTTAGCCAATTACAGAGTATCCTATAATAATATTTTATACAGCCCTTTTAAAACTTTTCAAAATAATGTTCATATCATTTATCTTAAGTTTTTATTCATATTTTAAATGTGAGATACTAAAGAACAGGGATTTACTCCAAATAAGAGAGAAGTAATTGAAGAAATAGATTAAATGACTTACCTGATATTACTGATGTATCTTGTTTGTGGCAGTCAGAAAAGAGTTATGCTTTCTCCTGGACTCTATCAATATCAGTGTTCCGTAATATCAAATAATGGTAAAAAATCCATGGATGAAAGCTTATTAAAAATTAATATGTAGATATGCAATTAATAACCCATATCTCCTAGCATAAAATAGAGGGAGCATCTTTTTTGGCATAGCATAATTAAAAAATTTCTCCATAGTGCAAATTTGATTAAAAGGTCTTTCTGAGACATTGCAGGGACATCCTTTCTATTCACAGATAGTACTTATTTCTATTTGATTTGCCCCTGACTGTTAAGTCAAATGTTGAGATGAATCCAGGGTTAATTGGCATTTAGGTCTCTTTTGTTGTTAAATGTCTGGAAATCACAAGAAAGCCCTGTTTCCTTTGAGAATGTATGTCCAGGTCCTTTATAATAAAGCTTCGCAGATCCTTTAAGTCATTGCCCTGGCTCAGATTTTTACTTTGATTTATGTGGCCATCACTGCTTTTTTTTTTTTTCCCCTAAAGAGAAGCTTCTAAATTCCTTGTCAAAAAAGTCACATTTCTCAGAGTTGTTTCATATAACTGTAACCTTAGATTTGATATCTCACTAAAAGGTTTGATTAAGTTAAATTTACATAATAGCAATACTTGATTTGGCTTTTTAAAATCATGATTTAGACAGAACTACTAGTGATGTATTTAGAAACATTTGTAGTTGGAATAAGAATCAGAAGATGATTTTCTACTTGTTTACATTGTTATTGAGATCCAGTTAGTAAAAATACTTGCATCAAATGAAAAGTTGCCACAGTCTAGATTTTTTGTTCTTCTTGCTTGAGGCTGATGGTCATTCTGCTTCCTCTTCACTACTGTACAATGCCTCTTTCAATGTCAATTCTGAGTCATCTTTAGGTGGCATTATATTATGATGCTCTCTAAGAGGCATGCCTTCACAGTCATAGCCAAACCAATGTGGAGGGTCATTAGAGTTGTATTCCTGCTGCTGAACTATAGGCGACATTCTGTGAGCTGCTTCCCTGTAATAACAGTGATTGCCATTAGCTAGTTGCAGAAGTAAATCCCTAGTGCAGAATTTTCAAACTAAACCAAATTTGGAGTTAGAGAACTCACTGTCACAAGTCAAATTTACTTTGGAGCTCTCTTGCCTTGCTGAGAGGAAGGGTGTGGGTAATTGTGTTAGTAGTCAGGGTCCCAAAGCCTGAGTAGCTCTCTGGTTCAGAGATTAACAGACACAGTGAATGGGTAAGGAAACAGCTCGTGGCCATGGAGTGGGAACACTGAGGTCACTCTATTTATACAGCTCTTGTGTAAGCCCTCTGCCTGTTATTTCCAGTTTCTTTTATGAGGGAGTAACCTAACCAGCCAACCTGCAAAGGCTGACCATGTGAGGCGGGGATAAAGAGAGACACGCCCCAGGGAGGCTGCTCATAAATATTCAGACTGGATCGGCCAGCACCTGCCTACTAGGCAGAAGAGGAGGGGAGAGGATGGGGCCATTTAGGAGTTTCCTTGTGGGACAGGGAAGGAGAAGGAGAAAGAGAAGGTAAGAGGTGCATGTGTCTCTCTGTCAGAGATGCCTGAGAACTTTGGTGCATAACTTTGCTTGGTCATAAAGCCCTATCGCATCCTGTTTCTCTGTCCCCTCTCTTCTTTCCCTTTCACTGGTCCTGTGAAAAGATTTTTCTTTTTATGGATAGACTAAGAGCCTGATTCTGTACCCCAAAACACAGGCACCCATGCGGGAGCTCTTAACCCAGTGTCCACATATGCCTATTGGATACATGGATGAACTGCAGGGAGGTCAGTGAACTCCCTGAAGGTTCATGCAGTTTTGTCTCTGGTATATATTTTTTTCTAAGAAAAAGGTTTGTGATTCAAAGGTGTTCATGACCAAAATGATTAAAAATACCAGGCTGTTAAAGTCCTAGGAGGAGGTAAGAAAGCAAAGAAGGCATCAGAAAAAAGTATAAGTTGAAAATGAAGCCATTTTAAGAACAGAAGGGCTTTCCCTAGGAAGCTGGTACAAACCACACCAGTAATAAAAGGAAATGAGTAATTGGCTACTTCTGTAGGATTAGAAATTATTAGCTATGTTTACCCATAAAGGACCTATTTTCCCTTTTATTGCTATATGTTATGAGTTATTAATTACAAAAGTCTAGAAACTGAGTCACTGATGTGGAGCTGGCATTATCATACACTTGGAGTTAAGTTTGTGCTAAATGGCCAAATGAGTGCAGGATAATTCCAATTTCAGCAGTGAAATTGGAAAAAGTAAAGATATATCAGTTTAAAATGCTGCTTCACTTGAGTCAAACTTTAGATGTATTAAAATAATTGTAACCAACTCAACAGGGAGACAGCCGCTTCCTGCTGTGTCCCTGTAGTAGCAAAGCATTGCTAATCCTCTTACCACATTGCTTTTTGGCTTATATATATATGTATTCACATAAAACTTCTACAGGTTTGAAGAAAAATTTGAATAAAAGCAGTTGTCATATACTAATTTCTAGTTTTGTTACAGAAGAGACTTTGACAGAGAAGTGGTTGGCACTCAGAGGGTTTTTTATTACATCAGTGGGCCCAGATGAGCTATTGCTTCAAAATCTGAGCCTAGAGTTTAGGTCTTACAAGGTTTATATAGGCAGACTCTTCCGGGTTCTTTTAAGTTTTGTTCTCTCAGCATTCATGTAGCCAGTACAGCAGTCATTGCAATAAGCAAGCACATTTTCAAAAGTGGGAGTAGAGCAGTTGATTATCAGTAAAGCTAATACAATAAGCAGGTTCTGTTCTAAAGGCAAAACAAGCTACTGAAAGAATTAATTTTGTATTTTTCCAATAGTTTGGAGCCACCAATCCCTGCGAACTAAAACTTGACAAATAAGTCTTTTCTTTAGAGAAGTATGAAAATTTGAAAATGATAAGTTTATGGTCAAAGATAAGGTTTTGCATTCTGGTAATGATTTAGTCTTTTTATTTTAAGTGCTGTCCTATGTTTTAAACCTCTTATATAATCCTGATATGTACTCTAAGTAGAACATTATTATGCAAAAATAATAGGCTCATATCTTTTCCTTTCCCCATATTCTTCTCCTGATGACATTTCTCCCTTTTCAGTTCTATGGGGTTGAGATTACCATTTATTTCAAGGTGTTTTCTGCAACACTTCCCCCCCCCTAAGTACTTCTCACAATAGAATACCAAATGTTGAGGGAATATGAGTCTTAAAGAATTGGTACCATAAGTTTCAAATGGCTAAAACACTGTCCTAGGCAACAGAACTCTGTTGTTATCTACCTTTCACCCCATCTCTACCTGTTTAAACTTTATACATCTTTCAAAACTCCAAACCAGTCCAGTCTCTTTTGTAAAAACTCAAACCCAATCCCTCTCTCCTCTAAACATCTATAGGAAGCTGATCATAGAATTAATTTCTTTCTAATACATAGCTTCATGGCATTGTTTATCATTTTAAAGTTTATTATTTTCCTTTTGCTTAAGAAGATAGTAAGTTACTTAAGGGTATATTACATTTCTTTGTATCTTCCTGAAGTCTCACATTAGCAGCCACAACAAGAGAATTCAGCAGCTTATTCCACGAAGGGAAGTCCTTGAACTCTCTTGGCTTCTGCTGGGTTGCCGGTCTAGAAGAGGCATTTTTATGTTCCTATTTCCAATACCCTCCTGCCCC